CCCACGGGTGTCTGCGTTTGGCCTGGTGGGAGAAGCTCGCCATTCCAAGCTTACTCGTGAGGAGGCTGGCTCAGAGGCCCATCACCGGGCACTAGCAGAGCCAGGCACGGGCAGAGCCGAGCATTCCAATTCTTTTTCTAAATTTCTGCTCTAGTGTACATGGACTTGCTGGAGACAGAGACAGGGAGAGGGAGGGAAGCCCCCAAGTGGGATGGCCATGTCACAATCCCTCTCCTCTTGGGCTTTTGGACACACATGCACACGTGCCTGGCATGTCTTTGAGCCACTGAGTCCAGGACTGGAGCCGTGCGGTCGGCCACGCGGGATCAAGCTGCCTTAAACTCCACCCTACCTGCTGGTCCCAGGCATTCCAATTCTACATGCAGGGTTCTTTCTACTCTATCATGTGTCCCCCAGAAGTGGCTCTCTAGAATGGCAGGGGTGCTGGGACAAGGTCCTGATGAAGTCCACAGTTGTACAGGACTTGACGTGCACCCAGAGAACGGCTCGCATGGCCTCTCAGGGTAGACCTGGGCGCCCTCACCTGCAGGGTGATTCGGTTCTTCACCAGCAAACCGATCTTGATGTCCATGAGGTTGAGATCTTGCTCCAGCTGCTGATTGGATCGGATCTTCCTGACCACCTCCTCCTGCAGCCTGAGCAACTCTGCCTCAGCCATGAAGTCCTCCTGGCTCTGGTTCAAGAGGTGGGCGAACCTGCGCACCACGCTGAGCGGGGGGTGGGGCGCGTGCACTGGCAGCAGGGAGGTGGTGGCATTAGGCATGCCCCCCCAGAGGCCTCCTCACCAGCCCCTGCCTGGTCCCCATCCTGCTCGGGGCTAGCAAGTCCCCAGCCCCAGGCCCCTTCCGGCTGCTTCTGCTTGCAGCTGGAGAGCGGCAGGCAGCCTCCCGCAGGCCCGGCCGAGCTTGTCCGGTAACCGGGATGCACAAGAGCTGTTTCCCCACCTCTGATTCACCCAGGGCAGGGCCAGGTGACCTCCCACACAGAAGCCGGCCCCCAAGACTCCCCTGTTCCACCCGAAGCACCGCCTAAGCACCGCCTACTCGCACTGGGGCAATCTGTTTTGGGGCCTCCCACTGAGCGGCCTCTCCCTCCACCCTCCCGCAAGGGTCCCCTGTCAGGAGTGTCTGCACAGGAAGCACAGGTAGGTGGGATGGGAATGGGTTTACGACGCAGGGAGGTCAGGGTCAAGTGGTGGTTCCCCTTGAACCAACTTTGGACTTGGGACCTGAGCAAAAACCAAAGCCTCCGAGCTACAGGGACTAACAGGACAAGCACTAGGTATAGTGTTCACTGTGGACGGTGTTCTAAGCGCTTGACAGATTTCAACAAGCCCGTGTGGTCAGTGCACGCCAACCATCCCATCTTACCAACGAGATTGCTGAGGCACAGAGAGGGTAAGCAACTTGCCCTAGGTCACACAGCTGGTAACAAATGAAGGAGCCTAATCTAGACGAGGAATAAACTAGGCCAAGGCCATACAGGCAGTCGCGGAGAGCAGGTGAGTAAACGACAAGTCACACAGCGAAGTCAGTGCTTTGAGAGAGGGACCATGGGGTTTTTGGGGCTAACAAAGTGGGCCGCCATCTCCAACCAGGGGAGTGAAGAGGAGGCGAGGCCCCACCTGATGTCTGTGAGAAGGAAGTGAGAGTGGGTGGCGGGGCCGGTGAGGTGAGGGGTACGGGGAGAGGCTGGGTCACAGAGCCTGACAAGCCTTGTTAGGAGCCTGGCCTCTATTCTTAAGGCAATAGGGAGTCATGGCTGGTCCTAGGCAGGAGAGTGACAAGACCAATTGTACAGGGTTTTTCATTTGCCTGTTTTTGCCATAGCATACACGTACTCACCAGAGAGAGAGAGAGAGATACAGAAAGAAGGAAAGTGAGAAATCACCCTGAGGGGGTGGCCATGTGGCAATCCCTTCTCTTCCATTCTCTCACATACATGCACCAAGTGTGATTTTCAAGCTGCCAGGTGCAGGACTCCAACCCTGGCAGCCGTGTGGGAGTCCAGCACCTTAGCCACCATACCACCTGCCGGCCCCACATGTACAGGTTTTAGGCATTAACTTGGCTACGGCAGGAGGATGGATCTTCCAGGAGTGAAGAAGCGTCAGTCGAGGAGAACTGACAGCGACTTGGAGTTGAGGAAATACAGCATGTTAACTCATTCAGTCCGACAGCCCGGTGAGACAGGCGTTCCCGTCCTCTCCGCCTCATAACGGACGCGTTGGTACCCCGCCCGGGGCACAGTGGGAAGTGCTCTGAGAAGCACGTAGGGGCTAATGTGGTTGGGAGACAGCACGGGGAGAGCATGGTCTGGAGAGACTATGAACTGAAGACAAGAGAAGGTAAAGGCTGGCCAGGGCCGTGGTGCCAGTGTAACAGGAGGGGGGAGTGGGAGGGAGAGAAGCTGGCTGCCAGGAGCAGGAGGCCAGGGGTCTATGGCCAGAGACAGGGCCGGCAAAGCCCCTGTGGGCAGAACGGGGAGGAGGCTGAGCAGGCGACAGACACGTTTCGGAATGGTGGCTTAATCAGAAGCCCAGGGGTGCAGCTGCTTCAGGGACCAGGGGTAGCAGCAGATGTGCGGGGGAATGGACTGCTAGTGAACTCCACAAGAAGGAAGGGGACCCCAGGGCCGGGTTTCTGGACTTGAAGGCCAGGGGCCCAGAGCAGCCTGGAAGGACCCCTTGAGGCTCTGCATGCACCCCATCCAAGGGGAACATGGGGCAGTAGGATGGTGCTCGCCGACGCTTCCCCTCCATGCCCTGCATGGCAGACCACTCAGGGCCTCGCCAGACCCTAAGCATGCGGGACCAGAGGCCAGGGAGGAGGGCAAAGCGGGAGAGGGCTGGGGCGCTGGGGAGAAGAGAAAGCACCTTTTCTTTTGCTTTGGTGTTAGCAACAGGTAGATAATCTCGGCCCGAGACAGGGGTGGCCTGGGGACGGCCGTTACAAACCCTGCCCCACGCTCCTGCCGACGCCGTGACCACCGCTTCCCTACCTGCTGTGCAGCCCTAGTAGGGATACCTAGACCTGCCTGGCTCTGTGGGGCCCCATCTCACATCACACTGAGGGAGGGGGAGCCAGGCAGCTCACCTAACATCCTGTAGTCATCCCGGGCCTTCCTGGCCCTGAAAAATGCCTGGATCTTCACCACAGAGTCAACCTGCCACAAACACGGATGGCAAGGGGGTCACTGGTGGTGCTTGCCCTGGTCTCACGGGCAAGGGCTGGACACGGGGGAGAAGAGCAGGGTGACACTCACATTCTCCTGGAAGTAGTGCAGACGCCTCAGGTAGCGCCTCCGAGCTGCCCACATCCGGACCCAGGCCTGGATCTGGGGGAGAGATGCCACTTTAGAGACCCAGGCTCGGGCCCTGCTTTCAGATTCAGGCTAACCCAGCCTGCTCCAGAGGTCACGGGAGGTGAGAGGACCACAGAGAGTCCTTCAGGAGACAGGAGCCCCCCAAACCACCACAGCTACCTTGATTACGGCATCCAGGTTTGCTTTAAAACACTGCAGCCGCTCCAGGTAAGCCTTCCGCTGTCCCACCCCCCGCCAGTGACTCTGCGTCACGAGAGAGAGAGAGAGACAGCCCTGAGCGGGTCTCCTCCAGCCTGAGCACTTATGGGAAAAGCCTTGTCTGGGCTTTCCCAAGAGGAACGGGGCAAGTTGAAGGCGAAGGGGAAACTGGCCTGTTCCCCTCAAAACTTCCAACTTCATGGGGGAGACCAAATGGCTGCCTATCACCAGTCACACCCCTGGCACACTCCTGGTATGTACACACATGCACACGCACCATACTACCTAACACACACACACACACGCACACACACCCAGCTGACTCCTCCTCATGGAAACTCAGCTGTACGATGCAGGCTTCGAAGTTATTAATAAAATAGACACCTACTCATCAGCTTCACCAAAGCATGCCCCACAGCTCCCAAACACTCACCACCCACACCCGGCACACGCGGCCCTCCTTCACGTGCACAGAGCCGGTAGAGTGTGGTCAGAGACCCACGCTGCGTGGTGGGGAGTGTGCACAGCACATGCCTGCGTGCCCACTGTCCCTGCCCGTGGCTCCAGGACAGCAGGGCACTAACGGTCTAACTCACACTTCTCTTTACAATGACACCAACCAGCTCCTGACCCAACTCAGCAAATCCGCACAGCGAGCACCCAGGAATTTAGCCCTCGGGCTGGCAGCCTCTGCCCCAGGCTAGTCTGTTGCCAGGGGTCCCTCTGACCTCTCCTTGTAAATCAGGCCCCCTGCAGACTCTGAAATGCAAATCTCATGGCTCCCTTCCATTTTGTTCTCCTTAGGAGACTTTTCTCTTTCCTCCAGGCTTGTGTGAGGTTCATTTTCTTAAAGTACCACGGTGTCAACAGGCCCCCAAGGTTTCTAGTTTTTTTTTTCTTTTTTAAAGATTTACCTAATTTAATTTATTATTATTATTATTACTTTTAAAATTTTGCTATAGGGCACACATGCTTGCCAGAGAGAGAAAATGAGAGAGAAAGCCACCAGGCCCAGGACTTGAACTGCGGTTGGCCCTGTGGGAGTCCAGCACTTTTAACCACCACGCCACCTGCCGGCCACTCCAGTTCGTCACTCTCTGACTTATCACTGGTCTCCTACCTTCTTAGGGTTTCTAGACACACTGGAAATTTCACCTTCTAAATGTGCCTGATGCCTGCCCTCACCCCAGCCCCACCTCTACCCTCTCAACTCCTTCCCGACTGAGGCCTCTGCCAGATGTCTCCTAGGGTGCAGGTCCTGAAGGACGCCCCACTACTGACGCTGGCTTGGTGAGATTTGCGAACACCCCCTTTCACCCAGTTGTCCGCCCGCTCTTCATACCAGGCCAATGTCCTCTAAGGCTACACTGTCCTTGGGCTGGGGTGCAGCAGAAAGGCTCCGGCCGGGCTGCGACCCTGGCTGTCCATGTTGGAGCCTGGAGGCCAGGAAGCCCCACTTCCATGCCTGCCTCAGCTCTCCCTCCTCCCTTCCTCCCGGTCCTGCCTGACACCCTCTCCAGATGTGGCTGCAGGAAAAAGCTGAGGGGTATGCCCTCTGCTCTCACCCCGGCACCCCTACGAGGCTCCACCTTAAGAAAGGGGCCCCCCAATCTGGATCCTGGCTGAAGTTCCATCCAGGGTCTGCGCTTTCAAGGGAGATTAAAGTCCCCGCACCCCCAGGCGGCCTCCTCAAAGTTGGATGCAATGGTTTGAGGCTCTGGGCCTGCCCGCACTTGCTCGCTCGCTCTCTGTCTCTCGCTCTCTGTCTCTCTCTCTCTGTCTCTTGGACCCAGGCCAGAGCCCACACAGCTCTAGCCTCAGAGACAAATGCTCCCTGACTCCATCCCTCGTCCGCCCCCACCCGAGGTATGGCTTTTTCATCTCTTTGGTGTGAAATTCCACCTGAAGCTCAGATAAGCCCCAAAAGCTCTGAAAGCCAGAGCCACCACCTGGATCTTGAGGACGGCCGGGAGCCAGGTCCTCAGGAAGTGGGAGCGCTCGGCAAACCTCTGCCGAACGAGGAAGCCGCGGAGGCGGGCCTGGAGCTGGATGACGAAGCCGACGTTGGCCTTCCAGAGCTGTTGGCGGTCATGGGCAGCAGTGACCTTGGTGACAGCCGACTGCGGAGGCAGGAGAGAGCCTGTGGTGGGTGGGGCCTTCCTGCAGAGCTCGCCCTGCCCAGGTTTCCGCCCTCACAGGGGCCCTGCCAACCTGGATCTCCTCCCGAGTCAGGTGGGAGGCGTTAAGGTGGCAGTTGGCAGGTGGCTCCCAGGTCCCCTGGAAGGTCTGCAGATGGAAGTAGTAGGCGGCACCATCCTTCATGCCATGCCGAACCCAGAAGGCTGTGTTCCCTAAGCAGAAGCCGAGTGACCAGAGAAGGTTCAGAGAGCAAGAAGGGGAAGGGGGTGTAGAGACGGGGCTGGGGCAGGCTGCGGTCATTACCTGGATGCCGCTTCTTTGCCATGGCATCTTCCAGGGCTTGCTGGTAGCTGTCGGCACAGCCAGAAACCACCCCTCGGAGCGCCACGGCGGGGTTCCTCAACACCCGCTCCGTCTGGGCCGCCTTGCCCTCCTTGATGGCCTGGTTGATAGCGGCCACCCCAAGAGCCACTGGCAGGGACATCGGGAGGGAGCAGCCAGTCATTCCCCGAGCCCCTCCCATGGGCCCTGTCCTGTCCGAGGAGGGATTCAAGGAGGACACGAAATCACCCTGGCTGATGGACAGATGGGGAGCACCGGATGGACAAACACCAGTGAACAGCAGCAGCTCAGTGGGGGGTTCCCCGAGGAGCAGCGTGGGCTCGGCCAGGCTGGGCTTGGAAAAGGAGTCAGCTGGCCCCAGAGCGTTAAGGGCAGGACAGGGTCTTAGGACAGGCTGAGGAAGGGGGTGCAGATGATGCACCTGCCTCCGGTCACTTGGACAGACAGACACATGGACGGAGGGGCTCTAGATGCCGAGACCAGCGCCATGAGCTCCACCCCAGCACACCAGGGTCTGTTTTCCTCAGCCTCCGGTCAGTTTTTCCAAGACCAGAGCTGGCTGACTGTTGCAACCCCAACTCGGGCTATCAGCAGCCGAGGGTGGACTGTTGCAACCCCAACTCGGGCTATCAGCAGCTGAGGGTGGACGGGGCCACTGCAGCCCTCTCACGCTCACACGCAGGGGACGTGCCCACAGGAAGCAGAGAAGGAGGCAGCGGGTGGACGGCGGGCCTCATCTCCTGAGAATTTCCTGCCCAGCTGGCTGCCAGGAAATCCACCCTGTGGTCCACGTGGTCACCCTGCTGTTCTGATTCTGGCCAGCCTCCCACTGAGGCCGAGGGAGGGAAGGGACCGGGGAGGGCACCTGATTGCCGCTCTGGCCTAGCTCTCGTACCCTCCCCGGCCCTCCCATTGCCCCAGCTGGCCCGTTTACTTCTCTGGGCTATGTCCGTGTCCTGGTTGGCTCTGACCACTCCCTGGCGGATCTCCTCCAGCCACAGCACCGCCCCGGGGTCCCCTGTCACCTGGCAAATTGAGAGAGATGGAAAAAGATGAGACTCCAGGCTGTCAGTCCGTGTTCTCACGCCAAGCTGCCCAGGAGAACCGAACTGCAGGCAGACATCAGAAGCCACAGGGACAGCAACCTCCCGTGCCTCTTCCTGCCCTGCATGGTGGCTCTTTCCTTTCCCTGCTTTTAGGCTGCCCCAAGCATGGACTTGGCTTGGCCACAGTACCCCCCAGAACCCCCAGGGGCTCTGCACAGTACTTTTTTTCTTTTTTTTTTTTGAGAGGTTTTTGCTATGGGGCACGTGCGCTCACCAGACAGAGACATAGAAAGCGAGAAATCACCACCCAGGGGGGATGGCCATGCCGCAATCTCTTCTCCTCTCGGGATCTTGGGCACGCACGCACACACGCCCGGTGTGAGTTTAAACCACCAGGTCCGGGATGCAAACCACGGTCGACTACGTGGGAGTCCAGCGACATAGCCATTTCACTAACTGCTGGTCCCATAGTACGTATTTTTAAAAACATTTATTTACTTATTGGGACCAGCATATGGCTATGTTGCTGGGCTCCCAGGTAGTTGACTGTGGTTCAAATTCCAGACCAGGCATGTAGGTGTGCATTTGTGCGTGCGTGCCCAAGATCCTGAGAGGAGAGTAGGGGGAGGGGATTGCGGCATGGTCGTCCCCCCCGGGGGGTGATTTCTTGCTTTCTGACTCTCTGTCTTTCTGGCGAGCACACGCACCTTATAGCAAAAACCTCTCCCCACCTTAATAATTTATTCTTACTTATTTATCTATGTATTTGTTGAGATTTTTCAAGTTGCTAGGTCCAGGATTTGAACCATAGTTGGCTATATGGGAATTCAGACCCTTAACCACCATGCCATCTTCTGGCCACATACATAGTGCTTAAAAAAAAAAAAAAAAAAAAGGAAATTTTCTGTCTTTGTTTTTTTAAAAAGAGATATTTGCTCTAGGGCACATGCACAAGCCAAAGATACAGAGAGACAGAAAGCGGGAAATCACCCCCGGGGGTGGCCACACTGCAATCTTTAGTCCCCTCTGGAGATGTTGGGCCATGCTCACATCCGGTCCAGCGTGAGTTTAAAGCTGCTGGGACTCCAGGACTACGTGGGAGTCCGGCAACGATGTAAGCATTCCACCATCTGCTGGTCCCAACTCGACTTCATTTATTTCATGAGTGAGAGAAAGATGAAGCGAGTGACAGGTAACCCAACCGGGTCCTGGGGCCGCAATGCACCCCAGCCTTATCAGCCCCAGCCCCAGATCATGGGCATCTGCATGCCCAGTGTCCTCAGAAAGGTGTCGGGTGAGGAGCTGGAAGCCGCTCATGTGGGTCGGCCTCACAGAGCATCATGCTTTCCTGCTCGGCCACTCCCTGCCCCTCTGCCTGGCTCCTTGAACACACGGCACCCATCGCTTGAAAGTGCGGAGTCCCACCCTGTGCCTCAGCGCAGTCTAAGGACAGCTCAGGGAGGAGGCTCCGCCCGCCCACAACCCCTCTGGATGCATCAGGCCCGACCTCCACCTTCCCGTGCCGTGGTTGCTCTGCACTTCTCTGCACATGAAGTGGGGGATGCTGACGTGAGACCACAGCTCGGGTGAGCCTACGCCTGCCAGTCAGACCAGTAAAGGACTGTCCTCTCCCTGCCTCACTCACCCCGACTGTCCTCCCAGCTCTTCTCAAGAACACTAGGCTTCGCGGGCCAGCTGGCGGGGCAGGGTACTGCCACTGGACCCCGACGGAAAGGCCCGGGTGCACCCAGGATCTGGCTGCCAGACGAAGGGGGATCACAAATGGGGACCCTGTTGGGGAGCTTTTCTCTTTCTCATGGAGGAGATAAACTTAAAAAAAAAAAGTAATAATAGAGCCGGCTCATGGCTCGGTGATGAACGGAGCCAGATCTCACGCGGCCAACCTCACGGCTTGAATCCCAGACCGGGCCACCAGGCACACGTGTGTGTGTTTCCCCCAAATCCCAGGAGGATGGGGAAGAGAGTGCGGCATGTCTGCATCCCACTGTGGAGGTGTTCTCCCTGTCTCTCTGACAAGCACATATACCCTATGGCAAAAAAAAGAAAAAGAAAAAAGAAAAGTAACAATAGACTTTGTAAACTAATGTTTTATTAACATTTAATTAAATTAACATTTAGTTGGGGCAGCAGAGTGGCGTGGTAGTTAAAGGCACTGGACTCCCACATGATCAACTGTGGTTCGAGTCCCTGACCTGGCAGCTTGCTTTTTCACTTTCCCTCTCTCTCTCACTCTGTCCTTCTCTTATCAAATTAAAACAAATAAATACGTAAGTTTAAAAAATAATTCTTTAACAAACAAACAAACAAATGAACGTTTAGTGCCAACTCCGTGCCAGGTACTGCTCTGAAGTAGTTCCTCGTGAACCGAGATGCGCAAAGCCCACGGGCAGCGCCGGGCTCAGGGCGCACCTCATAGACGCTGGCTGGACCCGCTGTCACAGCCTCTCACTTAAACTGAGATGAGCCCCCTAGTGCCCAAGTGTGCAGCGAGGATGTGAAGGCCTGGAAAGCCGAGTAACCTGTGCAGGGGCAGAGCCAGGAGGCAAACTCAGGCGCTCTGGCTCCAAAGCCCTGGCTGGCTCTCAGCTGCTCCCTGCTGCCAAGCACACATGGCGTTGCAGGTTCGAAACCTCGCCCCACTTGCCAGCTCACTGGCTTTTCACCCTGACCCTGGGAGATGGCTAGGACCAGGGTGCTTTTACTTTTCAGATGAATACACAGAGCTCAGTGACATCAAGGGAGCTGCTCGCAGCCATGTGGTCACCCAACGCCAGAGCAGCAAGTTCCCCCAAGTTCTCCGGCTCCCACCCCCTGGCTAGTGCCCTGGCAACAGGCACCACCCTGCCCCATCAGATCGGAGCCCCACGTGCTGTCTGCCCGTCCCCAGCAGCGACTGTCCATCAGCTGGGGGCTTTGCCAGGGTGCAAACTGGGCTGGGCTCTATCCTGCTCTGGCGACCAACCCAGACAGCCCTGACCTCACCTGGGCTTTCCGCCTTTTGGCTGCCACGAGGAGAAGATGGTACCGAGGGGCGACAGGGAGGCTGACGTTGTCTAGGCCAGCCGCGGGGAGCAGCAGGGCGGAGAGGGTCTTCTCAGGGCTGCCCTGGTCCAGAGCCTCGTTGATGAGGCTGACAGCAAGGATCTCTGAGAAAGAGAGACCTAGGTTGGCCGAGCTCCTAGTCTCACAGTAAGAGATGAGTCCCCCCTCCCCAGCTCGATTACTCACGATCGGTCTCTTCCTGGGCCTGAGCATTGACCTGGCTCACAGCGGCCTGCAGGTCGTTCCAGCTCAGGAAGGCCCCGTCTGCTCCACGCACCTGTCGCAGCTCCACCAGGGCATCAAAGTAACTGGCGGCGAGGTGAGGCAAGGGGAGCGAGGTGAGCATGGCCAGCTGGTCAATGCCTTCCTGGCCCCCAGGACGCCGTTCTCTCGGTTCTCCCTTCTCCTCTCTCCTCCTCACAGGCTGCTCTTTCTGAGCCTCCTCTGCTAGCTCCCCCCACCCGTATACTTCAGACACCCAGACACCTTCTCTCTTTAGTTCATGTCCGGTTGGCTCACCCAGTCTCCTAGCTTGGAACACTTTGTGCTAATCACTCCCCAAAGTGCTCCTCCAGCCCATTCACCCCTCCCTGCTGCCTCGTGGGGACCTCCGTGGGAATGTGCTTATTAGCCATTCCCAGATCCTACAGCTCTGCCCTGAACTGATTCCCCCACCCCAACCTGCACGCCCCACGGCTTCTCCCGTCTTGCCAGAATTCATGGAGTCATACGCAGCTCCGTTCTCTCATGTCCCTTATGTCCTCCACATACTCGAACCCTGGCCTTTCTGCTTTCAGAAGGTATCCCAAACCCGACTCCTCTCCACCACCTCCACTGCTACCACCATCATCTCCCACCTGGATTCTCCAACAGCTAACTTCTAACTGCTTCTCTGCCTGTACCTGCAGCTGGTTCTCAGCAGGGCAGCCAGAGGATCCCGTTAACGTAGGTCAGACCATCTCCCTCCTTGCTCAAACCCTCCCGTGGCTTCCCTCCTCGCTCAGAGTAACCGCCAAGGCCTTCCTGGTCTGGCCTCTGCCACTGCGTCTTCATCTCCTGCTCTGCTCCCTGCCTCACTCCCCTCTGCCACCCTGGCTTCCTGGTGCTCCCCGAACACACCAGGCACAGTCCTTTCTCGGGTGCCCTACTGCAAATAGCGCATGGCAATCAGGTTCCTGGGCGCTACAGGCCTCTCTCAAAGTGACCCCCTCACCAGATCCACATCCACATGATGTAAAACACCCCTGCCCTCTGCCTGGTTTCTTGTCCCCAAAGCTCTTCCTCTCTCAGAACCTGCACCTGTCTCCCCCTTGAGCACAAGAGTGATGGGAGCAGGAACTCTGTTCCATTCATGGCTGCGCCCATCACCTGGGGGCAGGAGGTGTGCAAACATTTGCTAAGAACTAATTAGTAGAGAGGGAGAATGAACGAATCCACCCACTCCTAGGAGGAGACACAGCCCAGGAACTGCATAGGCAGAGGGTGGGTCTGGCCCAGAACAGGGCATCGCACACGAGGCTGGTCTTCAAGCAGAACTCTGAGTTTTGGCCACGTCCCCTCCCTCCCAGCACGTGGCCAAGCCTTTCTCACCGCTGAGCATTTTCTCCTTCCACTTCGGCCAGGCCTGCAGCGGGGCTCCGCAAGTTGTTCCAAAAGCCACTGACATCCCTGGCCTCCAGGGCCCGGTTAATCAGGGCCACGGCCGAGAGCATCTCCACAGCCACAAAGAGCTCCTCCTGGCCGAGCTCCTGCAGGGGTGGGAGTAGGTGGTTGGAGGAGCCTGCGGCTGACTCTCTGTGCTTCCCCAAGGTTCTCCTGCATCCCCACCTCCGTCCCAGAGTCCCAGAAGCCTGGCGGCCTGATCCATTCATTAGCTCGTCATCCTGAACACTGGGAGTGCCCAGTGTGTGCTCTACGACAAGTGCTCCGCCCCCGTGTAACTGCGGAAAGGAGCCAGTGAGAGGCACCATCCCCCATTCCACAGACGAGCCGTGATGGACATTAACCCAGCTGCCTGATTCCAGCGCCCACACTTCACCAGTGAGCTCCCCAGCTCTCTCCTGGTGCCCACTGCACACGAGAACTGCATGGGCCCTGGGCACACAGAGATGAAGTCGAAGTCGTCACCCCCACCCGGCCCCAATTCCCGGCCCGTTCTCCTCCTTTTCAAGTACCTGCTAATGCTGTTCCCTCTGTCTAGAGTACCATTCCTGCCTTCTACAAGTGGAGCGTTGTGAATAACGGCAATGACAGTAATGGTTGGAACCTTTAAGCCCACACGCTAACTCATCTAGTCTTACAAGCCTACGAGGCCAATATATTGCTGTCGCCATGTTAATTACACAGAGAGAACTGAGGGGCAGAGGGTAAAGAACTTGCCCAATACCCCATAGCTAAGAGCTGGCAGAGCCGGATTTGAACTCAGGCGTCTGGCGCTAATGTCAACCTCGGTTACGACGCTTTACCTCTTAGGGCTTATTTCACGCTTCCTGTTTGGTAGTCACCCATCTGTTGACTGCGCCTTTCCTGGGGGCCATGCTTGTGTCCAGGCCACGCCTGGAGATGCTCTCTAATTGCCTGTTGTGGGTGTGAGTCTCTGTTCATTCCCCGCTCTTC